GTATAGTTACAACGGCTGCCCCACCCTTCAAACCGAAGCGCATTACTGCCTTCACGGCAGAAATAGGCGGTGTGGTGGTACCCACCCGTGCGGACTCACAAGAGGTCCTACCACCAGTAAGAATGTTATTGTATAGCTAGATTTGTGATGACCGAATAGATTCTCAAACGGATATTATTAATTATAGTTCGCTGCGTTGAGTTCATTCTTGTTGTTGTTTATGTTGTGATCGCCATGGAAATATGTCAGTTATTATAATGGAAAATGAAAATTTTATCAGATAGGTGTAAACTTAGATGTAGATCAGTTGAAAAGCATCATCAATGAGGTTAAGATTGAAGAAGCTGATGGAGCGTGTTGTGAGGGACGAATCCGATCCATGGCTTTATTTAGTTTTGTTACTATAGTCTAAATTAATGCTCTTCTACTCATCTATAAATACCAATAAACACAAAATGAGGAATATACGGTGGTTACCGGAGCCCATAGACATCTACAACGTAAATGCGCCACCCACCTTGAGATATAAGTTCTAAGGTCTTAGTATAGTTACAACGGCTGCCCCGCCCTTCAAACCGAAACACATTACTGCTTCACGGCAGAAATAGGCAGGGTGGTCGTACCTATACTTGTGGACTCACAAGACTACCACCAGTAAAACTCATAATCAATGTGTTTGTATTCGAAAACTAGTTTTAAAATACTATTTTACTTTTAATTAAGACACATTAAAACCTGTACAATTAGTTTACTAACAAGTATTCTCTTTGTTCGTCTAACTAAATAACAATCTTACAAATAAAGAATAAATACTTGCATGAATCACTTTAAACACATACATACATATGTGATACATACATTTACAGATTTCTTAGAATAATCTGAACCTAAGCTTTGCGATTTACGTGACTGACAACCGGTATTCCATGAATATTCATACTGTATGCAAACGGTGCATAGCAGACACGGTGATGATGCCTAGGTCAAAGGTTCTATAGCAAAAAAAAACATTTTTTTTATTGCTTAAATGGGTGGACGAGCTCACAGCCCACCTGGTGTTAAGTGTTTATTGGAATCCATAGACATCTACAACGTGTATTGCGCCACCCAGCTTGAGATATAAGTTCTAAGGTCTCAGTATAGTTACAGCGGCTGCCCCACCCTTCAAACCGAAACGTGTTACTGCTTCATGGCATAAATACGCGGGGTGGTGGTACTTACACGTGCGAAATCACATCCATTACCACCAGTAATGTTACTGTTTTGTTTTAAAACTTCATCATTCGTCTACTGATGATGTATTAGATTGAAAAATATACAAAATGCTTAAATCTTCACAATGACAGACACGTGTCGTTGCGTATTATTCTTCCTAAAACCTGACTTGAGGGAAGACCTTCGCTAGCAATTTTGCACAGCAAAAGTCAACCCTACGTACGTACGGAGGGCGCATCAATTATTTTCATAAACAAAACTATACCACCTCAATTCAATCGAGGGGTGAACGTTACATCTGGTGATATATCCACACACATGCACCCTATCCGTATACATGCAGATAGAACTATACAAAAATTTTTTGAATACGCCGTTTATTTGTGTCTTAGTGAGCAGTGATTTGACTGTGTCCCTGGTTTCGCCAATCCCACGAGCAGAGATAAGTATTTCGCAATAGATAGGCCCGCTCGTAATGCTATTATGGCTTGTAACGGCCCGCTTGTTTTCGCTGTAAACTAACTAGAATGGACAGGATATTGGGCCAGAGTCATAAAATTAATTATATTTTCAAGTTTATTTTTTCACCTACCTATTCGCTGGGAGCTTAAAAGGCTATTCCAGCTACGCGCGGACGGGTAGGTGAGCTCACGGGCTCAACCTGAGAGAATTTGCTAACACTAGCCCTAGCAAGAGGAGTGCTTCGCAGAATCTATCATCGAATCGGAATCGCGTCCCACTGAGAAGATTGAGAGCTGAGATTTTCAACATTGCAGTTCATACGTATGAAATTTCCCAAGTTAAACGGACGTGTTAAGTTGGTGAATATTACTTAGGAAGATTTCGCTCCACAAATAAATACGATAAGACGTTATATAATTTAGATAATCTTCGATAACTTCTTTCATGTCTCGTCATCTGATTTTGAGCAATCTTAAAGTTTTGAAGTCTCTAAGCTAATCAGGGCTTTAAATAGATAAGTCAAATAACTTTAATCAATTAGAGAACTTCATTAGAATGAACGTACCAGAGATAATTACCGTATCAGGTAAAACTATAAGACCCTACTCCTCCGTGCGTCGATAATCCTCAATGTGCAGATCCTGACGGGGCCTCATGAGACTTTCTTGGGAAAACACACATGGTGGGTTCCCGTGTCCCTCCACGACCGTACTTTTGGAAGAGATTTAGTTCTCCGAGGCCGCTGAAGGCTTATATGGGGCCGGCTAATTAACCGCCACCAAATATTCGGCGTTGACTGTTTTACGGTGGAAAGATCAAACGTCATTTAAAGTATCGGACTTCAGCCTCATGTCTCAAGGTGAACGGCTGCGGTACGTAGTGCTGTCTATGGACTATGATGACCAGGTAGGCCAAGAGACTATCTACCCATCTAAAGCAATAGTAAAAAAGTGACGCTATTACGTCATATTATAATTCGAAAAACCATGGTAATAGACTAAGTGATTAAAACATTTTTAACACGTATAAAAACTTCACAGTCACACATGCCTAAGTATAACACGGCACAAATTATAAACGTCCTTTAGGGTCGCTATAAAGGGGGAATGTAAATGAAATAACGGTTACTTCGATAAATATGGCATGCGACTTCTCAATAATGACTATTACAACAGATATGCGGTGAGAGGATTTTTCTCGCCACATGAAGAAACGGGTATGCGAATTGAATATGCCAAATGAACGCTCAATATATTTTTAGTGGTTTACCCAAATCAACGTTTGCAGCCACATTTGATGCTGGCACTTTAGTGTAAGGTTTTTTATAAAATTACTATAATATAATATTAGTCATGTTAAAATTATACAATTTTCTGATTGACATATGGCAATACCATTGGTGAAAGCAATGGCATTAGTGGGGACGAGACATAATAAAAAAAAAAGGCGGTAGTCGGAAAAAAAGACGTGTAACCTGTACAGAGTACATACCTAAAAATGTTACAAGTGGAGTTACAAAAAAAAAGTGATACAGAATCAAGTGAACTACTGCAATCTGTGTATTTATTTCCTGACTGTTGGTAATGAAGTTTGCATTAGTATGTGCAACAGTTGAAGCGCGATTCTTTTTTACGCCGGCTCCACACGTTGGCCCCACCATAGGCCCCAACGGCACTCGCCCAACGTGTGGATCTAGAAAATAGCATTGGCCCCAGCGTTCGAGCGATCGTTGGTAGTTGGCCGTCGAGTGTCGATATTGTCAAAGGAATCTGTGCCAACGTTCGCAATTCGTCCAGTATCCATATGTTGGCGTTTTGCTCAGTCCTGTTGCAACATCGAGTGTGTCGCGATGTGATCCATCATCTCCTTTGACGTGGCTTTTTCTATTTTTTTTCAATGACTAATATATAAATTATACGCACTCAGTATTGTAAAAGGGCTTAGAGCAATTTCAATTTCGGTATCGCACATCTTCACGTTGACTCTAAAGGAAAGGAACAGCCAACGTGTGGAACCGGTGTTAGTGGTGGTAGGGCGTCTTGGGAGCCGGCACGTATAGATGCTAACCTCTGTCTATCTCTGCCATGAAGCAACAACGCATTTCGGTTTGAAGAAGTAGCGAAGTAGTGCAGCCATCGTATAAACTCGAGCTTAGGACTAATGTCTCAAGATGGGTAGCTGTATTCATGATTACGTGGTTGATGTCTATGCGCCGTCCACCCATATCATAAATAAATAAATATTGATTTTTATACATGTAGTAATCGCGGAACGTGGCCTAGTTTCACTAGTAAATAAGAAATAACAAACGGCTCGTCAATTAAAATTACGATAGAACAGTGCTAGCGGAAAACTTTCAATTAAGTTGTATGAGTAATTAAAATAAACGTTGTTTTTTTTTGCGAAACAGTTAAATGTTCGGTACCTGTCCTTATACAGCCTCAGATCGCCAGACTGATAACAAGCGGGTTTATTTCAGATTTATTTGACTTGACCTATTGCGCTAGCCATAAAGGTATGTGCACAATAATCTTGATTTTTTTTTACTTTAGGGCCGTATGGCTCCAGCGCCCTTTGTCTCGCGTGTCGCAGTGAGAGTTAAGAAAAATGTAGTTTTTATTCAGAGCACATAAAACGCACGCTGCGCTTGTGTATTAAAATCTCAAATTATAATTTAATGTAATATGATGGATCTCTCCATAAATAATTCCCTTATTTGCATAAGTCTTCAATGTTACTATTGAATAATTACAAAGTTTACCTATTGTTAAATTGATTGCTGTGCAAAAAAATATATTTATCTAGAGGTTCTGATCCGGGATTCTAAAATACGGATATGAAATTGAATAAAAACGATCAATGCGAACACTAGACCTAACTTAATGCCGCTGCTACTTAAAATACTATCTGCATATTAATACGTGAAACAAAAAGTTGTACCCCTCTTTACGAAAATTGCGCTGACGGAGGATTATGAAATTTTCCACACTTATAGAGAGTACAGAGGAAGTCCAGAACGTTAAGTTTTTTTTTAATTATGCATAAAAATACATTAAATCAATAAATCAAAACATTACATAGTACACACAGTACCGTGTATTTGACACACACACGCATGCATACTATTTTTTTATTGTCAAAATTTGTCAAACTTTTCTTATTGCGTATAGTCTGTGGTCAAACTGAGAATAAATTAATTATTGTCGATTTTCGACTACCGTGGGAGCATTAGTTCGAATAAAAGCTAGATCAAACCATAAAAGTAGTCCTAAATTATATTATAATACTTATTGGAATAGCCATTAAACTAATAGCGTACTTACTTGCAGTAATATTCGCCTCTTGGTGACGATGCACAGGTACCACCGTTCTTACACGGCGACGGTGAACATGAGACGAAACCTATAACAAAAAGTAAAACATTATTAAATATTAGTAACTAGCTGACCCGGCAGACTTCGTAGTGCCTCAATCGATAAATAAAAGACACATCAAGGGGACACATCAAAGGAAAAACAAAATTGTTTGTTTTTATATAATTCCGAGCTTTTATATATTTTCTCACCTTTTAAACCTTCCCTGGACTTCCACGAATAATTCAAGATCAAAGTTAGCCAAATCGGTCCAGCCATTCTCGAGTTTTAACGAGATTAACGAACAGCAATTCATTTTTATAAAAGACTAGCGACCCGCCCTCGCTTAGCTTCGGAAACATTAAAACACACATGAAACCAAAAAAATAAAATAAAAATAAATTTAAAAAAAGTAGCCTATGTTCATCAGGGACAATGTCGGCTTCTAATGGAAAAATAATTTTTCAAATCGGTCCAGTAGTTTCGGAGCCTATTCGAAACAAACAAACAAACAAATCTTTCCTCTTTATAACATTAGTATAGATAGAAGATTATAGATAGATTACTATAATTTTTCTCCATATTTTTAAAAAGCACTCGGGCATTTTGCTTCTTTTTTGGTTCGGTAAATCCACATTAAGGCATGAGGTTCAAGTTTGTATAACGACTGCCCCGTCTTACGAACTAGAACGTCTGAAATTCATGAATAGATTGCAGTAAAAATAGGCAGAATTTTGGTACATACACGAGTGAGCTTAGATCCAAATAATGTACCACTTTTTTTCTGGTAATATCAAGTTGAAATCGAAAATAAGCCATATTAAAATATCCAACGAAAGATTTGAAACATCGGCCACTATCGAATCTGGCAAGTAAAGCAAGTATCATTATTGTTTACTACTAGAATAATCTTGCATGATTATTACCATAAGAGCAATGAGTGTTTATCTTTAAATAAGTTGCTTCTCATTTAAAGCATAAATTTATAACAACTTAGGAATTTATTCCACAACTGAGTCGTTGATTCTGGATATATTTAATTGGAAACTGCTTGCACAAGGCTTATATTACCATAATTGAGTTTATTTTTTGGTTAGTAAACATTTCAAAATATCATCAATCATTCAAGATAATTGTTTCTTCCGACAAAAAAACATTGACACAGTTTTAAGCGTATTTCTTTCAAGACTTTGTTAAATAGTCTTCCAAAGGTGAACTAAAAGATGGATGGTAATTACCTTACCATTGTTTTTACACGAGCTTGAAGAAGTAAAACGGATATTTTGTTTCGACTTTTCTTTTGAATTTAACTTTGTATGCACGCACCATATAATTGTTATAATACGTTAGCACTTGTTTTGACATAGCAGTACTAAGTACCTCAAGCGTCTCTTAGACTAATAATTATTATAAGCTCCAGACGTACTTATAATTATAATAATAATATGCTTTCGACTGTTTTAAATGTAACATTTGGATTATATTTAATTCAGTTATTTTTTTACAACTACCCAAGACCTACCTACCCCTAAGATTATATAAATTTGTAAATTATATTTCTATACGTAGACTCCGCAGTAAAATTCATCATTTACCTTGATATAGGGTGAATCTCGATAATATAGTAAGAATTGATTAGATTATTTGTCATTGATAATGCATGATATTCGATTTTGGGGTATAATTTTTGAAATCTCCCGCCAACTTGCCCGGTACCCGTGCAATCAATTGAATGCGACACTAGGGCTACGCGTTGCCGCAGTTTGTGCAACGCTTAGAAAAACTGAGGCCTGAAATCATTAGCAGTTGGCGGTAATAACTGTTTTATTCGTTTTATCCTACCTATTCTAGTAACCTCGATGGGCTATACTAGATTCACAGAACGAGTAGGTAAGGTCACGGGGCTCTAACCTAAGGACGTTGCTAACACTATAGCCCTAGCAACAGCTGTGCCTCGCAGAATCTACCACCGGATCGAAAACGAGACCCCCTGAGAAGATCCGGCGAGAAACTCAGTGGGCTGTGTCTGTGGGTTAATTTTCTCGCCGAACCCTTCATCGCAAGCGACGCGACGGGTTCGAGAACGATGACCGGTGCTTGAGGTTGGCGGTGAGTCCGTAATTTTTTAAAATTTTAAAATTCAATAAAACTCTCCTATCGTTCGTTCACACGAAATCTAGCCACTATGAGCGGACCTTTACATCTAAGATTACAATTTATAACGATATGCGTCAACCGAAAAATATGAACATTTAGAATGATTATCCATCACGTTGCCATAACGAGCGAATTGGGACACAGTCGTTGTTTGTTACATTAAATTATTTATGGACTGTGTTGCAATCGAGCTACAATTAAATCTTGTGACTTAATATTTACTTAATAGCCCAATATGTTTAAGTAATTAATGTTCTTTTTTGTTTATAATTACTATGTTTGTTTATAAGTATTAGATTTCCAGACGTATATCGAAATTGACACATCAATTGTTCACGCACACACAATTTTGAACAAATTGAAGCTATGACAAAATTGTCAAGAAATACTTTTGAATCTTCAAGCGATTATTTGTAGAAATTACATTTGATTCTAACATTAAATGGAAATCATGATTGCGCGAGTATTCATAGCGCTTACTTATCTTCTTGGTCTCACAAAACTTTATTTCATTATCTCATTCTCGTGGTAAGAAAATGTTAACTATGAGCGTAGAAGGATATAGAGGAAGAGGTAGACCTAAGAAGAAATGGATGGATTGCGTGAAAGACGATATGTGTAAGAGGGGAGTGAGCGAAGAAATGGTATATGATAGAGGAGTACGGAAGGAGAAGACATGTTGCGCCGAACCCAGGTAACTGGAAGAAGGGCAGGATAATGATGAATGATGATTTTCGTACACAAATCTATAAGAGATTTAAAATTGCCAGACTAAAAATTCCCCAAAAAAAAAAAGAAAACATTTCATCTGATACAAAATAAAACAATATAATTATCGTTCACGTGTCGTCAACAACGCACAACAGGAATCGAGATGTGATCTCAACGAATCGATCAATCAGTACCGAGAACACACAAAACGTTATAGATTTTTATCGATAAACGGATGAGAGTGTCGCGGAAATAAAATCGATAATGAGGAAGCTTATTTATAACAGTCTAATTTATTTGTATATATCTTTATAATTAATTCCGAGAATCGCTAAATTAAATGACAATTTTAGGAAGTGGCCTAATGGAATAGAGCTCGAATTTATTATGGAAACGTCTAGTTTTACTTTTGGTAGAAGTGCACCATCACCCTTTTTTTATGATTGAAAGATTACTGGTGGCCCGAAGGCCTTTCCAGTTTCACCAGGACAGGTGGGCGAGCAAAGGCTCGAAGGCAGGAGGGGTGGGATTTGCTAACAACTGCACGAGCACCTCCGAAGGAGACCTAACAACTCAAGAGCGATTGCTTCACGAATGAGTCTACTACCGGATCGGAATCGACGACCCGCTGAGAAGATCCGGCGAGAAACTCAGCGGGCTGATGCATGGGTTAGGTTGCAGGTCGACCTCTTTGTCGATTTCGACGAGTACAGTTACCAGGGTCCCTAAGCCTGCTCCTAGTATTAGAGCTGAAGGCGTCTAATGCAAAGGTTATTGGATCTGATGGATCCGTAAGGACGTGTCTAGGGCGTCGACGGTGACTGGCTCCTGCATGATCAGGATTCGGGGAGTAGTCAGCGTTGGCAACGATAAGGCGATTATCATGACGACCATCATCCTGTCCAAGTCTGCCGCGAAGCAATAATGCACCCCGATTTGAAGATTGAGAGATTCGTTGTACATTGAAATTTAGACTTTAAAGTCAGGTGTCAAAGTTGGTATCGGCATACAAGTTGTGATATCTATGGTGCTCCGGCAACAATTCATCATCGCCATTCCATTTGCAAATATTAATATGTAATGCAGATTAAAAAAAAAAAAGTTGTTCGAGCTACTTTATCGGTCAACGACCTTATGCGTAGGATGGATGAGATACGCATCGCCAAAACGTAAAGCCGCCGGATAAACATCGTTTGTAAAGTTAAAAGAAATTGATACGCTATCTAAATATAAACACGAAAATACAAATTCTCTCCTCTTCGATTGATATACATTCGTGGGAAAAATGATTTTTACATTAAGTCAATATTTGACAGTCAATTTCAACGATAAGGTGTAAGGAGACGACTGACAAAAAAAATACGGAATAGATTATTAATTAAAACTTCATAAGAGATTCCGGGTGCTAATTATGTATGAAGTTATTATACCTGCTGTGAAAACGAAACTTCAAGTCAAAGAAATTGCAGTATTTTCTAAAATATGGCTTTTTAAAGCTAATCATAGACGTATGCTTTCAAGTGTTCGTGGTTGCGGACGACAAATGTATTTATTATTCGTCGGCTTTTGTAAATTTAATGTTCATTACCGTCAAATCTATATATTAATACGTGAAGCAAGAACTTTGTATCCCTTTTTACGAAAATTGCGCGGACGGAGGAGTATGAAATTTTCCACACTTATAAAGAATATAGAGAAGAAGTGCACAATGTTAATATTTTTTTGAAATAATACATAAAAGATACATTAAATCAATAAAGAAAACATTACACACACTACATACCATGTGTTTGACGCACACACGCATGCATACTATTTGTTGTCTGACTTTTGTTCTTGATGTCTGTTGTCAAATCGAGATTAAATATTGTTTGTCTTTGCGAAGTAGTCTTGGCGAAATTTGTGATTATAGAAGTATAAAATACAGTAAGGAATACCCTACAAAAAGGGTATAAAACCGGCGCGCAGCTCCGTCACCCGCGCATTTGTCGGTGTCGGTTGACATTTGTGAGAGAAGGTAGTCGTGGACATGGTGTGCGTAAGTCATTGTTTTAAGTCTCTGTAAATGTGTGCTTAAAGACAAGATAATATCAAAGTGTTTATTATGTATTCTGGTTGTTTGGTAATTTATGTTGAATTAGTCAATTAATTAGAGTTTGAGAATAACAAAAGTTGTAGTGT